TGAAGCACCTCAAACGGTGACCAAACCAGGACTAATGGCCAGGAAGGTTCTGCTATGCATTTGGTGGGACTGGAAGGGGAATGTTTATTATGAGTTGCTTCCATATTGTCAAACGCTAAATTCTGATATCTACTGTCAACAACTGGACTGTTTGAAGATAGCAAATTGACCAGAAAGTGCCAGAATTGGCCAACAGGAGAGGTGTCTTGTTCCACCAGAACAACGCTAGGCCACATACATCTACAGTGAATCGCCAGAAACTTCGTGAGCTTGGTTGGGAAGTTTTAATGCATCCGCCATACAGTCCGGATTCGGCACCAAGCTTATATCATCTTATTTAAAAGAAGTTCTATAGTTTCTAATTTTCTTAATATATAAAATCTTCTTTCTAAAAGTTTGTAATAATTGTCAAAAATGTCGAGAAATGCATTGCATTCCATTACCCACTTTCTCTGTGTTAGCTATATTAGTCCCAAAAAAGTATAATACAAATTGTTCCATTATTTATTTTCTCACTTTTCACTTTACCTGTTTATTTTTCTCCAAGTAAGTGGTTGTGATATGTCCAGAGTTTTCCTTTGTTTTTCGTGTCTTCTATTCACAGTCTTTTGTTTTATTAACAAATATACGAACCACAATAGAAATATAGGTCCACTTTACATACTTCGAAGAAATGCATTTATTTGAAGATGCTCTAATTAGCGTTCTACTTGAGGGAAAGTGCTGTGATTGTGCTTCACTTCCATTAAGATATACTCGCATATTATGGTAATTGTTTGTTTTTGTTACTAAAAATATCTTAATTAAAAGAAAGAAAATTGGTGTATGTATTTATCACACCCAATTGGAGCAGCATCTAATGAATTTGTTAAATACAAATGGAAAAACAAAATATTTTCGTTGAATTTTAGGAAAATAACTCGTGTCGTTTTGAAGTTTTGTCATTTTATTTACAATGGGAAATTAGTGAATATAATTGAAGCATATTTGTGTATATTTGTTTTACAACTTTCATTTTTTCCAATTGTATTACTCAATGGTGTGAGTAATTAAATGTTATACCTACAATATTACAATACTATTTTGTAAAAAATAAGTTGCAACAAATATAAATTCAAGTTGAAGTTTGATATTCAGAATTATAGAACTCAGCAATTGAAATTAATAATTTTGATGTAATTTCCACGAATTATCATTATTATTCCAGACAGATCATATAATGGGATTTAAAAGAGAGGTGGGAACATTTATTGTTGAAGTTGTCAAAGTTTGGCAGTTTGACAAATAGTGACAAATTTTCTCCTAGAGAGAGCTTCCGAATAAGCGTTGAAGTTGCAATGCCGAATGGGATTGGTGTTGCAATGCCGAATGAGATTGGTGGTCAAAAATAAGGTTGCAGCCAGGGCTGCCAGATTTTTTTGGAAAAATCGTCAAAATGACGATTTTTTTTATCAAAAATCGTCAAAAATTTAAATACGCACATTTAGATATATTTAAATATATTTTTTTATTAAAATGAACATAAAAGAGGTATTCAATTTATTAAACACGGTTTTTAAAGCTAATCAAGGAATTCATTTATTTTATAAATAAATATTTGAATAGTCATTTCGACTTTAATAAAGTCATTCATTTTGAAAAGAAATATTTGTGTTAATCATTTTCAACATGTCGGTTTTAATTAACGTATCATAACAATTTGTTTTGTTAACTTTTAAATAATCGTTGGTATAAATTTCTCCATTGAATCCTTATTGGGGGAATTTCGACTTTTCGTTTTATTAAGGTTTACTTGGCTGAAAACACGCTCAACATTTGCTGAGGAATGGGGTAATACCATTACCTTCCGTACAAATTTAGTTATTATAGGAAAAACATATGAACCATCACCACGTTTCAAATCAAATATTGCATTCCAAAAACGAAATAAATCGGTTTCATCATTTTCACAAATGTTATCAAAATCAAACAACCTTAGTTCGCGAAATTCTGAATCCAATTTTTGTTTTCATCTTCGTTCACAAAATGTGGAAATTCTTTAAGGATATCGAAAAATGAATTATTCTTTTCATTACTAATATACGTGGGACTTATCATAGATACAATTTTACAAATGCTTTCAAATCGAATATTTTTTAAATTGTAATAACTTTGTATAAATTGAAACTTAAATTTAATATGTATAACAACTTTTCCGTTCACCAATTTTCTTCTATTTGCCGTGTCAAAAAACAACAACCGTTAACTTTTATTTGTTTTGTTGCTGTCTACCCTATCTGGGTAAACGTAAACTGTTGTTGGCTTTGTAACAGTACAAAGTAAACCTCACACACATATGCCAAATATTCAAATTCTTTTTACTTTTTCTTTCGCTTTATACATTTTTGATGTTGCCATAACAAAACGAACCCAAATATTGCAATATTACTAAAATGACCAAAAATCGTCATTTTTTGGGCAAAAATCGTCAAATCGTCATTTTTCAATTTTTGACCAAAAAATCGTCAAAATGACGATAAATCGTCAAATCTGGCAGCCCTGGTTGCAGCTAAGTCAACGGTACCCGGAAAAATTGATATTGTGGAGAGTTTGGGCCCTTTTTGCTATAATTCTTTTTTGGTATAAAAAGTTAGTTTATGTCTGTTTAATTAGGCTAGCTTCCAAAGGGTAGGGCAAGTTTGAAGAAGGGTCCACGTTTAACCATATCCCTAAAATATTACGATACTCCCTATTGTAGACACCTACCCTACAATAATTATCTATATAGATCCCTGATTTCTAGTGTTGAGATGTTAGAAACAAAGTGTGTCGTAGGTTATAATATCCTCTTAGAAAAAACTTCGGTATAGCTCAACTTTTTAGGATATCCCCTATATTACTATCCCCTTACTATCGCAACAGTACAACATAATTCCAGTGGGGTTGGAAATTCCATTGCAATTAATATACCCCTATGTTTAGGAATACAAATTATGAAAAGTGGTTGCAATTTAGAATTACTAGTGTCTAGTGGATTATAATATGACCTTTACATTTTTTATCGACATAATTCCACTTTTTTGCAATGTACTATTTATAAACGATCCGATAAAAAAGCTAATACCATTGATTGTGAAAACCACAGAATATTACTTCGGAGAAACCTTTCTGAATAAATCCGTGATTTCTCAAATTATATATCAGTAGTAACAGTTCACCACAGAGCAATTTAAGAGTTCAACGGAATTGGTGAGAGGGATTTAACCTCTGGAACAGAGGGTGGAGAAGCTATGGCATGCATGTCCAGAACCCATCAAGGGTTTTTTTAAAAAAAAAAATCGGAAACCCAAATTTGGCTTTCACAAAAGCTCATATTAAGTGAAATCCGGCTCAGTGGAGAAATATTATGTTCACGGATGAATTAAAGTTTAATAATAAAGGCTGAAAGGCTCCAGCTTCAGTATTGCAAGGGTTCTGGGTAGCATGTAGGAGGGTCAATAATGGTATTGGGCTGTTTTTTTTCTTTTCTGGAGTTCGATCTTTTTACGAGTTAAAGTAATGGATCGGATTGTTTATACAAATGTGTTTAAAACTCAATGGTTGCCTTCGCTGAAGAAAATATACAGCTTGTTTGGGTGTTTCAGCTTGACAGTAACCTCAAACATACATCGAAACATGTCAAAGATTGGTTGCGGGTCATTAGATATTTACACTATATAAAATCGTTGGAGTATCATAGATAGCAAAATCAAAAGAGATTCACCAACTAACAAATATAACCTCTTCCCGAAGGTTCAGGTTGCGAGGACCAGTATATCATAAGATGAAATTGAGTGTTATGATAGTTATGCTGTCGGTCACTATCGAAATTTAGTTATTTAAAATAAAAATTAAAAATCTGACCTTTCAAAAATTGGGCCAATTTTTCTACAGATTATTTTTTTGTTCCAAATAAATTTCTATTTCTATATTTATTTCTGAAAAAATCACAATAGGTTTTTTTAACGTTGCAGGTCATTTATTTCGTTTGCAATTTCAGATGTTTTAGTTTTGACCACCAGTGTGGGTCCATAACTTTGATAGATTAAAATATGGTCATTTTATTTACTCAATAACAAACACGGTATTTAAAAAAAATAGCAGCATTCCCTATAATTCACCACACACTACAACACATTTCATTTACATATATAAATGTTGCAATAATGTCGATAAGGAAGTATTTCCAATTCTATAAGGGTTGATACAAGTGTTCTGTATACGTTGAAATTATTATCACAGTTTTAAATTACAGTTATTTGTAAGAGGTCGATAAAAGTGTTTTTTTTTTCGTAATAACAAAATTCACCACACATTTTTATTTTAGTTTTGGGATTACAGTTATTTGTCGATAAAAGTGTTTTCTATAAGAAAATTTCTTATTTAACTTCATAGTCAGTCGTATAAAAATATTTTGTTAATTTAACCCTTATTGTTGTATTCTCCAATAAGACACAATCTTGTAGATTTTCGAAGAATAAGTAGGACTCATATAATTTGTAATAAATAAATGTCTTTAATGTAGACTATATCCGACACCAGTTTCTGGTTCATAAACTAGCTGAATAATAAATGATTTGTCACGATTTGTCTTTTTAAATTCAAGCATTGTAATTCTATATTCAATTCTTAATTGGCACCTTATCGTCATTTGTCGATAGTAGTGTAATATGTATTATGAACATTTTTGTGTTCGTGTTCATAATTACATTCAGTCCATAAAAACGATTCTTGAACTAGGCATATTTGTCGATATGTTACAATCAACTGTATTACCATAATTTCATAATATTAACTGCACTACCACGAGGAAGTTTATAGCATCAGTAAGCTATTTCACCATACATGCCGATAATGCAGTGTTGTTCTTATTTGGGAGATAAAGATGTTTCACTGTGTTGTGGTCAAGACTAGTCACAGTTATTATTTCATGTTAATGTTATCGATAAAATATCAAAGTTGTGAATAAATTTTGTACTCACCTGAAAAAATAGCGTAAACGCCACCCATTGATAATATTTTGTATGTTTTATTGTTAGAGGTCCACGTCCCTGTGAATTATGAACCCCAGGAAAAGGCACCTCGGAACCTTGCTTTTTCATAAAAGCATCCACCACTGTATATGTTGAATGTATCCAACAATATGTATTAAGTACATCTTCCGGAATGTCTCTGCGTATAACGATGCGATGTTTTGTATTTTTCATAAAAAATTAACAAAAAAACAAGAAGAGAAGGTGTTATGAATGTTCTTTACTTTAAAAATAATTTTGAAATTATTCTATATGGTTATGCTGCTACGAATATTAACTACATTTGGGGTTGATGGTTCGTACAAATGTTAGTAAGATGATGACAACGATTGGGCGGGATTACACTGACATTACGTATACTCACCTCGTATGTACACAGTCTATTGGATTTCCTACGTATTGACGCGTTGTAACAGCAATTGAAAATGTTATTAATAATATAACGGTTGCATTTGTGTGTAGGCGAAATACAGGTGAATCGATTTTGACATGAGACACCTGTTGTTGCGAGCAATATTATTTCGTTTGTGGGCCAATGATGACAGACAAAGGGCGCGATAATTTCAAAATTATATGAAATTTTGTGTCGTTTCGTTTTGGAGGTGGACGGTCGGTCATTCGTGATGGTTGGTGGTGTTGTTGTTGAAGTGTTTGTATTTTTGTTTTAGTTATAAGTGTTTTTGTTTATTTAAAGGGAAGGGAGATAATAAAGAAAAATTGTATTAATATCATTTATAATAGAAAGTAGTTTTTTCACAACAATAAAAACAAAAAAAAATTGTATAATAATTAAATAGAAGAAAAATTGTATACAAATACAGTAAATATTAAAAATACAATTACATAAAATGTTTGGTATTTTATACGTTTTTTTGTCCTATAAAATAATTAATATTTTAGTGTATTATTCATAAATATTTAAACTATGGCATTTTGTGGTATGTTTGTACGTTTGTTATGCCAGTTGTTTTGTTTTTCTTTTTTTTTTGTTCGTTTGATATTCATAAATTGAAAACTGTGTGTGTATGTAAAACTATTCTGGTGAATAATTAAACAAATACATACATACGCATATTTTAATGATGATCAATTATTCTGATTTTATTATTATGTATTTAATAGTTTGCCCATTTCGGGGTATATTATAATAATATAAATATGTGTACATATTATTGTTCTTTTTTTGTTTTGTAAATTTGTTTATTTATTCAATTGTTATGTGACTGTTGTTTACTGTTGATAAAAAATTGGTTAATATTAAAGCAATAACTAATATTAACATTTCCTGTTATGATGACATTATTAATTTTAAAGAGATTGTTTTTTGTATTGTCGATTTTTTTTAAATATCATGTAAAATGGAGCGTGTAGTTGCATATTATTATTATTATTATTATATATTTCCTGTCTAATGATGGGAGGATGTTATTAAAAAATAGGAAAGTTTCTTTGACATGTGCTGTGATTAGAGTTTTTTTAATTTAATGGAAAAATTCAGTTGTAGGTTTAACTATTTTGTGTAAATTTTTTTAAAATTTATACTATAGAGAATTGGTGTATTATCTCACCTAAGTGAAGGGGTTCTTGATAAGTATGTAATTCTATATCGATTTAGCCATGAACGCCTGTTTAATGCTATCACGATAGATACCTAAGGAGTTTGTAAATATATGTGTATATGCATTGCTAGTATTCACATCTTCGAACTTGAAATAAGTTTGGAAGAAATATTACAATGTGCAAAGTTTGGATGAAATCGGTTACTGTCTTTAAAAGTTATCGTGTTCACCATCCGACCCGACCGACATTTGTAAATCGACTCCAATTGGATTTGGTCCAAAGAAATATGGGGTCTGAAATCATATTTATACTGTGGTACAGGGTATTATGTCTTTGTGCATATGTTTGTAACAGGCAAATTAAAACGAAATAGAACAATGGTTCCTTTTGAGAATATTCATAGAATCACTTTCTGAGTCGATTTATGCAATTCTACCGTGGAATACACACTGTTGATTTTAAATTTTTAAACAAAGACATGGTATGACATCTGTATTTGTCATCCAATGGAATTCAAAATGAGAAATTTGGCAGAGCTATTCTTTGAAGTGTACCTAACCCTATTTAAAGACCAAAAAATCAAAAATTTCAGATTTTTGGCTGCTTTATATATTTTCGTCTGTGAAAAATGGTGCACCAATCAGCCCCTAGACACTATTTTGCAATTGTTCTCAGATCAGCTTTTGTAATCGGTCAGGGAAACAAATGAATCCTGTTTTGTAACAAGGGTCGGTGTGGTTGACTGACATATATCTACATCCTAATAATTTACCAGGTATTCGAGGTATTTACAATTGGATTCGAACAATTTTGAATGTACCTTATCTAAATTATAGGAAATAAAAATCATAAAATCAAATCGAGATTAAATTTCGAATTCTGCGTGTTATGCTTTCAAAATGATTTTTTAGAATGATTGGATCTTGATCTAGGCTGAATTTTAAATATCTTCTCCTTGGGAGAGGTACCAGAAGGAGTGAACCAATGGATCCCATCTTCGGACTTGATCTAGACTTGATAAAGATGATAGGTTTTGTAAAGTTTGGATAAAATCGAATAGTCCGTTCGAAAGTTATTATAAATATTCGATATTCCATCTTTGTACTTGAACTGAGTTCAGAAAATATATTACGATGCAAAGTTTGGATGAAATCGGCTACTGTCTTGAAGAGTTATCGTGAGCACCAGCAGGCCAGACAGACGGACATTTGTACATCGACTCCCAATTGTCTGAATCGGATTTGGTCCAAAGAAACATGGGGTCTAAACCACACTTCTATGAGACACATTTTTGCGTTGGCAATGTTTATATACCGTCCTTAGCTTGACGGTATAATTATAATTGTGCTTAGTGATGGTCACAGGTCGGTCAGATGGTTAACATCTTCAGATCGACAAAGGATGCTCGTCTGGAGCCTTTGTGCAGGATGTATCAGATTAATGTAAGGCTTACCAAAAGTACACATTTTAAAAATTTTGACCACTTGTTGTGCAGGGTATCATAAGGAGGGGAAACATAGGCACCACATTTGTACTTGACCTAATTCTGGTAAAAAATATACACGTTTTTATAACGTTGGCTCTTTATGAGGGACTTAGCAGTATGACTAGATATTTGATAAAAATAAAACAAAGTGCAAAGATCGAATCAAATCGAAGACTGTATACGATTTAGATGGAGTCGCTTTTAAAATCACCCAACCCTTTGTTGGGTGTATTGATGGAAACCACACCATGTATACTTGAACTGATTTTTCAAATCGGCTCAAATTGTCTGAAAATTGTCAATAGTGATTTAATATTATTCAAAAACAAGACTTGATACGTAAAATGAAATAATATGCAATTACACTGCCTTTTTATTTTATTGAAATAAATCCGTATTTATCCTTTTTTTTCTATAATTTTATAAATAATGAATATGCATTTGTTTAATTATACGCTCCATTATAACTTCCGTTTTTTTGTTATCTTTGATTTCCACAGTTTTTGTTGTTATTATCAAACGAACAATTACAAAAAATATTCAAATACAATACAATATGATAATAACAATAATAATAAATATAAAAATTAATTTTTATTAAAATATAGTAAAAGTGTAGTAAAAACTTTTGCATAATGATAATTGATTTAAAGGAAATTATGAAAAAAATGTATATATAATTATTTCTTGTTTGGGTTTGATAATTTTTGGCATGTATGTATGTAAGTTATTCAACTTAGTTTTTTGTTTTTTTATTAATAATTTGATAAGGGGTTTAATTAATTTGTGAAATTAAAAAAAATAAAGAATCGAATTTCGTTTATCTGGTTATACATAAAATACTTAACCTAAAAGGATGTTGAGGGGGTGGAGAAGAAAGTTTGTTTGTAATAGTAATAGTAGATTATTGATAGGAATGCAAATTTTTGTTTTTTTGTTGTTCGGTAGTTATGTTAAATTAAACTGTTAACATTTTCGATTTTTTGTTTTGGTTTTGTTTTTGGAAATTTTATACAATGTTAATGAATATATGTGAAAGTAATAGTTTTTCGTCATTGTCTGTAAGGGGAAGAGAAATTTTATGATAAACCAATTTATTTTTGGTTTAATGAATTTTAATTAAGGCATATTTAAATTAAATAAGAGGATATCAGAAAAACTTCAATTATTTTAGTTGTAGAGTTCGTCAGTGTCATAATAGGTATATGTTCAATATAATATTTATATTGAATAGAAAATTCGACAATCTTTTTATGAATATGTCTTTTTCTTGAGCTAAAATTTAATTTAATACATAAAATTTAATTTAATAAGCTCCTTATATAATTATATATATATATATATAAATGAAAACAAAATGAACCAAGGGCATGATTTATATATAAGGTTACAATGGACAACCTGAGGAGATCTTCGTTAACTGCCTATGCGAGGTTTATTCAAGAGGATTCAAATGTAATCTGGAGATTCTAGACACCCCATAATTTTGAGATTCTAGACACCCCATATTGACTGTAGTTTGGTATTTACAGGACTATTAATCCCTTTGTCCAACTTGTTTTTTTTTTGGGAATATATTGAGTACATATCCCTATGCAACATATGAACTTTTTTGATCCAATACCGAATTCGCTTTACATGACATTCATACATTTTCAAAATCAGGTATCAGAAGGATTGGACTGCTAAACATCATTCTTTAATAGAATACTCCTTATGCATATTCTTGTGTGTTTGCAGAAGGAGTGGATTAAGAGTCTCCAACTTCCAATTAAATTTTCTAAGAGTTATTTGTTCAAATGTAACTCCATTTGGGAGTAACATGGAGCTTCCACAAAACATCGCCATCATATGCATTGCCTTTCCTAGGTGATGGAAAGCCATTTATCATTGTCTAGAAAGAACGTCTCCTTGAATTTTGTTCATTGTCTGATGTCCTTACTTATTTAGTGTTGCCATTTTCCTCAGGGTTGTGTAATCTCCTGCAATTCCTATGTCAGAAAGATTGAACCGCAAAACATCATTCTCTAATAGTATACTCCCTATGCATATGCTTGTGTGTTTGCAGAAGGGGTGGACTAATAGTCCCCAACTTCTCTTAATTTTAGAAGGAATTTTTTTTTTCATATATTAACCCACATGGGCTACCACAAATCATCGACATTATATTCGTTACCTTTCCTACGTGATGGGACGCTATCTATCAATTTCTAGAAACAATGTCTCCTTGATTTTGTTCATTGGTTGAAGCCCTAACATATTTAGTGTTGCCATTTTCCTCTGGGTGATGCTATCTCCTGTAATTCCTCTATCAGAAGAGTTGGACTGCTAACATTATTCTCTAATATAATACTTCTTATGCATATGATTGTGTGTTCGCAGAAGGAGTGGATTAAAAGCGTCCAACTTATTTTAATTTCAGAAGGAATAGTTTTTAACATGGTACTCCACT